TTACTGAGACATCATGGCATTAATACAAACTGCCTTTGTATTACAAGAGGTGCTCAGCGTGGTGGTGAACTGCTGAAGCGTGTGTACATTTTTTGTGGGCTCTGAATATAATTATATATTGTATATAAAATAAAAATGAATGCAATTATATTATTTTGGCAATATTAATACAATACCACAAAAAGATAATATTTTTCTAAATCCCATTAACCCAACAGATAACATTTTATTTTAACTGGTTTAATACAAACATTAGTTTTTGTATTAGCTTTAATACAAACAAAAGACATACAAAAAGCTGAGAGATCTATTTAGCTCGCATGTACATTATTATTATGAATAAATTATAACTTGGCCTTCATTTTTTTCTCTCCCATCTTTAGAAGAGTTTGAGGACTACTATATGGCAAAAGGCAATTTACAGGGGCCGGGGAGATGGCTCAGTAGAATAAGTGCTTGCCTGGCAAGCACAAGGGTCTGAGTTCAATCCCCGGTTCTGCAAAAAAAAAATAAAAATAAAAAAAAATAATAATAAAAGGCCATTTACCCAGATGCTAAATATCAGTCTTTAAACAAGAAGCTGATTAAGGGGCTGGTGAGATGGCTCAGTGGTCTAAAGCACCTACTTAGAACAAGCTTAGCAAAGCACAGGGACCGCGGTTCAAGCCCCCAGCACCACATGCCAGCCTGCCCCGCCCCCTGGTGGGCTGGCCACACACACACACACACACACACAAATAAATAAAATTAAATTTAAAAAAAAAGAAGCTGATTAAAACTACTATATTGAGACCTGACATAGTGGCGCACGCCTGTGATCCCAGCCCTGGGGAGGCTGAAAGCACAGGAGGATCACTAGGAGTCCTAGCTGGAAGGCGAGACCCTGTGCCAAACAAATAATAAATAATATATGATACATTTTTTTTTTTTTGAGATAGTCTATGTAGCTCAGGCTGAACCCAATTCTTTATCCTCCTACCTCAGCCACCCAGAGTGCTTTAATTATAGATGTGTACCATCACACGCAGGTACTATGGCTTTAAAACTGCACATGGTGGGGCTGGCAAGATAGCTCAGTGGACTAAGGCACCTGCTTAAGCAAGTGTAGGCAAGCTGCAGGGACCACAGTTCAACCCCTGGAGCCACATGCCATGCCAGCTCCGCCCCCAGGTGGGACAAGCTGGCCAGAGTTGGGTGTAGTGGTTTACGCCTGTGTTATGGTTTGTGTCTAGTTGTCCCCTCAAGGCCTCATGTAAGTTATGGGGCAGATGCGGCTGGAGGAGCAACCAATGGCTTGAGGGCAGGGCCAAAGGACTGGGGCGAGGCTAGAGAGGTGCGAACCCTTAAACTGGCTAGCCTGTGCTTTCTCAGAGATGTGGAGAGGGTCGTCCTGAGCACCACAGCGCACCAGCCTCTCCTCCAGTGTCAGTAACTGTGAGCTAAATAAACCTTTACTTCTCTAAGCTTGAGTGTCAGGTATTTGTCCCAGCAAGGAGAGAAGAATAACTAAGACAGAATTTGCATATCTCTGTATTTGGAGACTGTTTTAAAGAAATACCATGAGTTGCCAAGTTGAGGAGGGGTGGATTGTAGTGGTTGATACATTGTATTAACTGGGGAGGGTGGGCGGTGGATACATTGTGTCAACTTGGCTGCATGGCCTGGCAGTTCTGCACTCTGGGCTGCCAGAGCCTGCCCCAGAGTAACTTAGCACAGAAAGGGCTTGAGGAAGAGCTCGGCATTCTGCTTCCTTGGACTAACTTCAGTCTTCGCAGTCACCTTGGACTTTATCTCCTGGTTTCTAGCACAGACTCTTCAGCCTCCAGATTAGATCCTTCTGCATCACAGATTCTTCAGTCTTCCTTTGCAGACCTAAGGGCCAACCATTAGAGACTGTTAGAAACCATTAGAGACCATCAGAGATAGAACACTGCAGGGAGTACAAAACCTTGGGACTGAATCCTTCAGTCGGGGGTGTGCAGACCCTCTTGGCTCACTTCCTCATCTGACTCTGTGACTGGCACATCTTGTGTTATACCTGTTTCTTGTGTTATATCTTTTCCTCTAGTAAAACCCTGACTAATACAGCCTGTAATCCCAGCACTGTAAAGGCTGAAAACAGGAGGATGTCTATGAGCCCAAGCTGCATAGCAAGACCCTATAACAACCAAATACATTAAAACAAACCAAAACAAAAATCTGCACATGGGGGTCCTGGGATACAGCTCAGGGGTGCAGCATCTGCCTGGCAAGTGCAAGGTCCTGAGTTCAGTTTCTGCTATTAAACAAACAAACTGCACATGGTTATGCTGACTAGCTTAATGAAATCTCATAAGTGTTCTGCATCATCATATGCTGGACAGGAGTCATGTCTTTGTGCAGGACATCCACCCTGTGTATACTGATAGGTTTTCAAGGGCATGGGAACAGAGAAACAAGCAGGAGGAAAAAGGGAAAGGGGATTTATTATCTTTGAGGACAAGAGAATCTGGGGAAGGTAAGGGATTCTCTGAGTTGGAACAAAGGGAGGCTGAGGCCTTTATGGTCTTTTGCTGGCTGTGGAGCTTGAGGGGGGTGTTTAGAAGTACCTGAGGAGCTGATTGGGGGCTTCCCTGAGGTGGTGGGAATGGCAAACTTTGGAAACTGCACCCTGGGCTGAACTGGAGAAGAAGGGGGATGGTGGTCTCTGGAAGATACGCTGTTGTTTTAAGGGCTTCAGCCATATTAGAAGGCCACCATAATAACTGAGCAATTCATACTAGGGCCAGAACCTATCATATACCAGCTCCCTTCTGGTCACCCTGAGGCCACCACTCTGCAAACCTATTTTACTTGACTACCACCTTAAGGCTCGAGTCTGGTGCTCGCCATTTGGAAATGCCCAAGAGAAGCCGGAAAGTCCTTCCTTAAGTGAAGAAGGTGAAAGTTCTCGACTTAATAAGGAAAGAACAGAAATCCTACTCCCAGGTTGCTAAACTGTACGGTAAGAATGAATCTATCCGCGAAACTGTGAAGAAGGAAAAGGAAATCCGCACTAGCTTTGCCGTCGCCCCACAGAACGCCAAAGTCACGGCCACCGTGCGCGATAAGTGCTTGGTGAAGGTGGAGAAGGCGCTGAGTCTGTGGGTGGAAGACAGGAGCAGGAGCCGCGTGCCCGTCGATGGCAGCGCGCTGCGCCAGAAAGCGCTGAGCCTGTACGAAGACTTCAGCCAGGCTGCGAGCGATGGCTACACAGACTCAGGCGCAGGTTTGGCCTGAAGAATGCACAAGTCACTGGGGAGGACGAGACCGCCCGTGAAGAGCCTGCTGCCGTCTGTCCAGCGGAGTGGGAAAAGTTGCTTAAGGAGAAAGGATGCCATAACTTTTATTACAGTAGTTTATGACTACTCAATTTTATTGTTGTCTTTCTCTTATTGTGCTTAATTTATAAACTATCTTAAGCAAGTGTAGGAAAGACAGCCTTCGCGGCTTCAGGCGTTCCCTGACGGCCCATACGGGGAGGGACTACCAGCCTTTAATTATAATATCCCCAAATGCCAATGAAATGTAGGCGCCAGAAAAGCGTTTCTTCTGAAAACTTAATGGATGGCTCTGGACATAGTCAGGAAAGTTGCGACACAATTGAATTAGGCAAGGAAGGACAAAATGACTAAGTGATTGTGGTGGAAATCCTAAAAAATGTAGGCTTCTGTAATCAGATTGCCTCCCAGGGATCTTTAACTTCTTCATTTGTGTCACAAATCCAACATGGAGATTGGGACCCGGGCTTTAAGGGTGCAGTCTATGCAAGAAAGTAGACGGGGGAAACGCCAGTCCGTGCACCCAAATTCAAAGGCAGGGCTTTGGACCTACATCAAAAAGACGGGCTGCTCGGAAAGTTTTGTAGCGAGCGACAAAGACTCAGAGGCTGGAAAAAACCCTGTGGTCGCCACCTACCGAGCAGCAGTGGGTGGGGGAGGGCGGGTTGCGTGGCCCTAAACCCCAACAGCGGTGGTGGTGTGGAAACCAAACCAAAACAGAACGAAAAAACCCCTCAAAATCATTCCATTTTATGCTTTGCAGAACATATTAAAACACCCCTCTGGATTCGAGTTTTAAAAACTTTTTATGTTTAACTTCGGTGACCAGAGGTCGCACATTTTCGAAATTCACTGAGCTCATCAAATTTGAGAAAGAGGAAAAAAAAAAAAAACACCCAAAAAACAAACACAAAACCCCCAAACCAATAATAATGGGGCAAGGGAGGGGCTTTGACTTAAAGTGCTTAGCGGTTGACAGCACAAACGGGCCACGAATCAAGATTTTCTGCTCCCACGTATGGCTTTTCAACTTTACTTTCTAAAGGTTGAGTGAGATAGAGGGTGGCCAGAGAGGGGGACCGGAGAGACACACAGGAGCCCCGTGGTCCTTTCGTTTGTTTCCAAGTTGGGAACGCTTTAGAGACAAGCTTTGCAAACATCGACTGGGTTCTTTGTATATGGGGTGGAGGTGCAGGGAGGACCGGCTCCCTTTGCGCAGCACAGAGGGCGACAGACTGGCCCGGGGCTCCCCGGCCTTTGGCAGTCTCCTGGCCTCGCCAACTGCGAAGAATCTCGGTGCAAGAGTTAGACGGGGTCTTGCACCGCGGTTGAGGCGTGCTGGAGTGTTGCAGAAAGGGCGCTGGGGCCACCGCTGGTCTACATTTTCGTTGGTGCACCCCCAACTCCCCTCCCCCACCCAGGCGGCAGTGCAGGCCCCAGGTGCAGCCATGTTCTTGCTCCCACCATCCGCGCCTCCATTGACAGTCCTTGCAGGAGAGGGCCGGGCGCCTCGGCACTCTCCTCGTCCTCGGGCTGCGGGGCTCGCCGGCGCGTGGCATTCTGGAGGTCGTAGTCCGGCGGCCCCTACTGTCTCGCTGGCCGGGACCAATAAGGAACTACAACTCCCGGTGGGCGGTGCTGCGGGTGCGCACGCGCAGCGCGCCTTCGAGGAACAAAAAAAAAAAAAAAAAAAGAAAAAAGAAAAGGGTGAGGGAGACAAGCTCGGAGAGCAGAGAAAAGGGGCCACTGGTCGCCCCCCCCCCCGTTTCCCCGCACGCGCTCCCTAACCGCGTTTATCCCTGCCTCTCCCGTCTGTACCCTGTGAGCTGAACCAAGTGCAGAGCGAGGCCCTGCTAGGGCGGCCATGCGGCGGTGACAGGAGCGCGGCCGAGACGCACGGGCCCCTCGCCCCCCGCCCGCTCGCCAGCTAGCCTCAGTCGAGTCTTCTCTGCGGTGGACGCAGCGCGCGCGGCCCCTCTCGCTTCCCGTTGGCTCCCTGGCCCCGCGTTGCCCGGAGGCGGCTGCACTCGGGTGAGTCCCTCTCGCCTCAGCCCCGTGTGCCCCGTCCCCTCCTCGGGTGCCACGGCCAGCTAGACTTCTATGGGAGACTTTGCCCCGCTGGGGCCTGCATGCAACGGGATGTGGGAACCGTGTTCGGCTGCGCGCGTGAAGGTGGGGGGACTCCGAAGCGAGCGGCCCGCGGGCGGACTGTTGGCACCCCCCAATCCAAAGCGGGCGTCCCGGGGGCGCCCCGCCGGCCTTGGCAGCGGGCTTGAGGAGGCGTGGGGGTGGGGCGGTCGCGGGGGACGACAGTTGCACGCGCGCCTGGTGCGCGTGGGGGAGGGGCGCGCGCGCTGGCCGGCGTGTCTGGGCGCGGGGACTGGGGGGGGTCTGCGTCTCTCTAGTGCGGCCCCGCGCGTGAGCGAGCCCGCGGGGTACGCTGATTGGTCCGCACGGCTGTGCGGGGGCGCGCGCGGTGCCAGGCCCGAGCCGTGGGGTCGCGCTCGCCGGGTGTATCTGGGGCTTCTGCGCCGGGGCAGCAGATGCACGGGATTGGCTGAAGGGCGCGGGGGCGGTGCTGCGTTGCCTGGTAACTGCGGTGGGGGGGTGGGCCGTGGGGGGGCGGGAGCCTGCGAGCCGACTGAGGAGCGCCTGCGCCCCTCTTGGTTCCCAGGTGGAGCCGGCAGTGGGCTTTGTCCCAGGCCGGCCGCGCGCCAGCCGCGCTGGGCTTGTTCTTTTTTTGGGAGGTGGAAATAAACACAATGACCGGAAGGAAGACTTCAGCCCTAAGGCCATGAGAATAAGCTGTCTGGGTTCAGCCGCCATACAAACGGCGAGGTTAGGAGGAGGAAAGAATCAGAAGAAAAAAAAAAAAAAGCAAAAATGGCACGGACTTTTACTTTTTAAAGTTTTGTCTTAATCTCTTCCAGCGCTTTGGTTTTGTACACTTTTGCACGCTGGTAGATGTAGAATCCTGTTGGCTTCACACTGTCGCACGTATTCCAGGGGTACGCCTCCCCGAAGTGCAGTTTCCCCGCGGACAGTGGCTCGGTGGAACAGCAGGCCAGGCCAGTAGCGCCTGGGGACACAAGGGAAAGTTAGTCGCGAGTGAGAAGGGCCAGGCCGCGCGCCTTACAGAGGCCCGCGGTTGATGCTTCTCGCTAGTTGTGCCTGTGTGCTGGGTGCCTGCCTGTCGGATCGGCTGCTGCCCTGACTTCTTCCTGTCGTTCCTCTGCAGTCGCGTCTGTGAGGCCTCCCCCTAGGCCGCCGGCTTGGGAGTTTTTGTTTTAGTGTCCCTGTGGACCTGTTGGCCCTTGTACTCCATGGTAGGTGTTGGGTTGTGCGTTAGAACACGCATCCCGAGGATGCAGACTTCTGGAGGGGCAGGGATGTTCCTTTGTCTTTCTCCACTTTCCCAGAAGTTCACAGCAACGTGCCTGGTGGCATAGCTGTATCTACAGCTGTTTCAGTGTTTCTTGTGGCAGACATGGATGGTTCTTGCAGACTTTACTACATATTGCTCATTTGTAATTTTTGTTTTTGAGACAGTCTTGATGTCTTCCAAATTGGCTTTGAACTTGCTTTGCGCACAGGCTGGCCTTGAATTCTGAATCCTCCTGCCTCAGCCTCTGAGTGCTGTGATTGCAGACGGGTGACACCACACTGGTGATTTCATATGTATTCCTGACGCTCAATTTTCTAGTGAGGAACAAGCCTAGAGAGGTTAGATAATGTGCTTACCTTGCCAGTGAACCTGGTATCGTGGCAAAGCCAGTGGCTCTCAGATTGGTTGGTGAGCACTTCTCTTTGGACGACTTGCCAGCCCAGCTTGCTTTTTCCGTGGTGGCAGCAGTTCCCAGGCTGTAGGAGGTCTACTCAGAAACATTGCTTCTAGATATTTGTTTTTGGTGACTTTATTTTTTGGTACCAGGAATTAAACTCTGGCCCTTGCGCTTGCCAGGCAGGCACTGCACCTCTGAGCTATAGCCCAGCCCCAGCTTTTGGTGACATTAAAACTAGATTAACCAAAACCCGAGCTCCTTACTGTGCAGTGCTTGGAAAACTGGTCGAGGGCTTAAATTTTTTGTCTGTTATGATTATAAAAGTAATTTAATTAACTTCTAGTTTCATGAGGAATTCAGGGATTTAAGTGCAGAACTCAGTTGAAAATCTAAATGATATTGGCTGCTTTTTCACTCCCATTCATTTATAAATTAATTCAGGGCACAGATGTCCTTTTTTCCTCTTTTGTTGGTGGTGAATCGGGAGGTCTTCTTGCCTAAGACACTTATTATCTTCTCGGAGGGAGGCCTGAAACATTCTGTTCAAACCCGCCCCCCCCCCAGGTTTGGGTGAAAAGGCCTGAACTTAACTGCTACCCTGTAAAAATTAAGTAATTAAATTAAGTGGGTAAGTCATCTGAGGTGCCAAAGGTATTGATAGGT